GTTTTTGTGTAGGTACCGGTCTGTGTGGGTGGGTTTTCTGTAGACTTTGTGTCCTAATTTGAGGTCTGGTTTGTATCTATATTCATTTACACTGCAGCATTCTCAATGGGAAAATTCTGTTTTCAATTTGGGTTATGACAGTAATGTTCAGTTAAAAACCAGCCTGTTAACTTGCAGATTAATTAGGCTATTGTGTAAAGAAGCCACAATTTGTACTTTTATCAGCAACATTTATATTACAACTGTTTATGATGTGATAGTCCCCCTATTTTTCAGGTTTTAACAGCAAAAGAAAGAAAAACTCAGATAGATGACCGGAACAAACTAACAGAACACTTTATTATTGCACTTCCCATGCTTCTATCAAAGGTATGTCAGTAGAATGTGATTTCCTAATAATGATTATATGACTCCTTTAGTAATTTGTGTATTAATTTTCATTTTTTCCCCCCATTGCCAGTATTCTGCTGATGCAGAGAAGGTGGCAAATCTTCTTCAAATTCCTCAATATTTTGACTTAGAAATTTACAGTACAGGAAGAATGGAGAAGGTATCTGAATAATACTAATTTACATTGAAGGTTTCATAATGAATTGGTATTTTACATTTCTGTTCTCTGTTTTCATGTTTAAATTAAATTAGATTAATTGCTTCAAGAAATGACCACAATTTCTCTTTGTTCCACAGCATTTGGATGCTTTGTTGAAACAGATTAAATTTGTTGTAGAGAAGCATGTGGAATCAGATGTTCTTGAAGCCTGCAGTAAAACGTACAGCATTCTGTGCAGTGAAGAATATACCATTCAGAATAGGGTTGACATAGCTCACAGCCAGCTCATTGATGAATTTGTGGATCGATTCAACCATTCTGTGGAGGATCTATTAAATGAGGTTTGCTTGTATCCTGTTTTCCCCAGAGTAAAATATCTGCCTGCACATTAGTACCAGAACATTATTTTAATTATTTAATTTTTTTTGTTTGCATCCCAGAACATCAAATGAGAACTAAGTTTCTATTGTATTGGTGGTATATAAGAGGCCTAGACAGAGGTGGGTGGAAAACCACATGAATATATTTACCACAGAGAACAGTAGAAAGATCCATTTCTGTTTAATGATATTGTGATTCAAATAGCAGATTGTAAAGTGAAGTGATGCAAGGAAATTAGTTCCTGACACAATTATTGCTTCCATTAAGTTTGAAAGTGGAAGAGAAGCCATATTTGTAGTTAAGAACTCTGACCATACTTATATTGGGAAAGATACAATAGACACATTGTTACAAATTTGGATAGTTTCCATTACCATTGCATAGAAACCCTTTATTTGGAGAGAGAAAGATTCATGTAACATGAACTTTTATTTTATAATTTGAATTTAATTAACCTATAAATATATAAATACTTTTTGTAATTATCTACTCATGAATAAGAATAATACTATATCTAAATCAGATATACACTAAATTATCTATATAATTTAGCCCTATGTCAGCTCAATTTTGTAAGTGGACAAAGAATGTAATCACAACTTATCTCAAGCAGTATACACAATCTTCAAAACAAGCCCATACTTCCTTCTTTTTAAGTCAGTTTTAGTCAGTGGTCCTCCATTTGTAGTACTGATATTCAACTTCATATTTTCTTCAACATTTCAATAATTCTAGTGTCAAGTTACTCAACATTTGATGCAAATTATTTTGTTTTATTTTGTTTCAAAACTTGTGCACTTCAAAACTAAAATGAGAATTTATTTTTCTAGGAACACTAGATAGTCATACATGTATCCTCCTATATGACCTGATTCCTTATTTTCTGTCAAGCATATACAGATTTCATGCTACACCTGTATTAGGCAGATCACCTACAGGCAACCTATATTTAAATTGATCAGTCATTTAACAATGTTTCATAGGAGAATCTTACTTGGGGTCCAGTGCTGATTTCTAAAGGTATGAATATATGAGTTTATAAATCCTGACAATCATTGGGATCTGTGGAATATCAGGATATTAGAATCTTTGGAAATGGTAACTGGTGAAACTTAAAAAAAAATGTCAGAGTATCATGTTAGGCCACTTCTCCAGCAAGGCCTGAATTTGGGAATCAGTTTGAGAATTTTGGGACCTCTGAGTTTAGTTTCTGAAATACAGATTTATGCAAATTCCTAACAGCCGTTGCTATACATGGCTATGGGTCTAAACTCTTAAAAATAAGTGTAATATATAATTTGCTCAGTCTATGATCCAGTTTGTTCTGTTTCCAGGGAGAAGAAGCCGATGATGATGATGTATACAATGTTCTTTCTACTTTAAAGAGATTAACATCATTTCACAAGTATGTGGCTTTATGAAACGTTATAGCTATTTAAATATGGTCAGTCATTTATACTGCCATGAAAAATATAAACAAAAAATATTAGCAAGATTGGAAGATTTCTAGTGTTATATATATCTTAGATAAGATTTGATAGAAACAGCTACTTTAAGCAAGATGTAGGAAAGAAACTCCATAGTTTGAAATCATGCAGTTTATATGTTGTACTTAAATACCTAATTATAACAGTGGCTTTATTACAGCATTTGTTCAATCTGTACTGTACCAATTTTATTTACTGTACTAATGCATTTTTATCTCTCTGTAAGTGCTCATGACCTTACAAAATGGGACTTGTTCAGTAACTGCTACAGGTTATTGAGAACTGGAATTGAACATGGAGCTATGCCAGAACAGGTAATAATAAGCAATGTGTGCTGCTGTCTTCATACAATACAATATGAAAGTGATTTAGCATTATACTATTTTAATAGTAATACTATTATTACTATTAAAGTTGCTTTGACAGTTGAGATGGCTATGAATGAATGAATGAATGAATTTCATGTCTAGCCAGAAGTCCATTAAGTTAAATTGGGCATATTTTAAGATAAGTGTACTGTATATAATCTTAATTACTGTTCTTTACATTCATGTCCCATCTTCATTCCAGGAGTGCAAGAATACAAAGTTATCTATTGGGCTGTAAATGCCACCACCTGTCAATTAGATCCATGTCCCTCCTGGCTGGTTAAGGCAGATCGGGAGGTGACATGTGGGTGGGCCCATGCGATGGTGAATTCATCCTCGAGAGAGGGAGTGTTTCCAGCGGCCTTTAAAGAGGCACTGGTACGCCCCCTTCTCAAGAAACCATCACTGCATCCCCCATACTGGACAATTTTCATCCAGTCTCCCACCTCCTCTTTTTAGGGAAGGTGGTTGAGAAAGTGGTGGCATTGCAGCTCCAGAGGATCCTGGATGAAACAGATTATCTGGACCCTTTTCAGTCAGGCCCAGATATGGGAAGCAAACAGCATTGGTCGCACTTTTGGATGATCTCTGGCGGGAACGGGATGGGGTAGTGCATCCATCCTTGCTCTTCTCGAGCTCTCAGCAGCTTTCAATACCATCAACCATGGTATCCTTTTGGGTCAGCTCAGGGAGTTGGGGGTGGGTGGCACAGTTTCGTGCTAGTTCACCTCCTTCCTCCAGAGCGGTCCCAATCGGTGTTGATAGGGAGCGAGAGGTCCAGCCCGCAGCCACTCCTTTGTGGGGTGCCACAGGGTTCGGTACTTTCCCCACTCCTTTTTAACATCTACATGA